CACACAAAGGCGCATGCAACCAACTCTCCTTGCTGCACGCAGGCTCGATCTTTTTTTGCTCCAGACGTTTTAGCAAGCATCGCACGGCATTTTGCCCAATATCGACACCTGCCCAAAATCAACACAAAGCTGACTGGCCCCCTCTTCAGTTTTCGGCTCACAAGCTAAACCTGCTCCCAAAATCAACACAAATCCGACTGGCCCACTCGTCAGTTTTCGGCTGACAAGCTAAACCTGCTGCGGATATCTGCGCATGACTCGCATGAGCAGTTCACACAAAACTTCGACTTTGGAGCCTGGCCATCGCAAGAAGCCGAAGTAACAATGAAAATACGCACTTTGCCACTGCCACTGCAAGCGCCCTCATTGCTGCAGACCCGGCCTTCTCCTCCTTGGGGTGTTCCTTTGCGTACGCCTTTCTCGCAAGCTGCTTCAGGACTGTGCTGCTAGCCAAGGCTTCCGGCAACGGCGCAAGGGTAGCATTGCCGTTGGCACACACAAAGCCCATTGAGCGCAGCTTGTCCCGTTGATCCTTGGACGCTTTCTGACTCAACCAATCTTTTCCTCCCCAAAGCTCAGCCACAATCGCCCAGCTTGGTGAGTCCTCGAAAGTCCACGGCAGCCGGCCGTCTACTTTGATGGCCTTCATGTTGCTGTCTTGGGTTGCCGGCCCCTCCGAACCGAGCCCGCGCATGCTGTAAGACCACACTACCCCGCAGGCAGGACGTCGCTCTTGTACAGCGGCAGTGGCCCCAGACACGACGATCGTTGGGTGACAGACCTTGCCCACGGACGCCGCGAGCCCCCCTTGCTTGCTTTTAGGTTGCCAGACCAACTTCACTCGATTGAAGTTTGTACTCGGAGCCGCATTCGCCAGGATGGCTGTGATGGCTCGGGTTGCCCTGGGCGCATCATCGAGGTTCTGCGTCAAGTCAAAGCTGATGACCCCCTTCGTCTTGGCATCCTTATCCTTCTTGACCGCCTTTGCTTTAGCCGTGTGTGCCGACTCTGCCCCGGAAGCTGCCTTCTTTCTTGAGCACACACCAAAGACCATGGAAATGCCGTGAGAAAGGGATTTCCTTAGCACTTCTGCCCAACATTCTCTCACATGCCGTGACTGATGCTTAGGGCCCTTGCGGCTGGAAGTGCTGCAGCAGAGTCGGCAAGTGCATCAGCTCGGCCTGACTATACTCCTACTCTGACAACAAAGGGCCGGCCTGCCCACGCGGCGCCTCCTTCAGGATATCATCCAGCTTAGCTGCGGCGATGTCGACCATCTTTATTTTCTTGCCTTGTCTTCCGAATTCACTTCTACCTTCTGCAAAACACCACGTGTGCAACAGTAACAGGCTGCCGAGGAACAAGATCCCTTAGCACCCTTCAGCATTGCCAAGGCATCCGCTTGCTCACGTGAAGCTGCCATGACTTGGGTGACACTAGGCTAAGTGGAGTTCACTTGACGTTGAACCGCAAACTCTGGACGAAGGCTGTCCGAAACTGCACCGTCGAAGCGGCTGCACTTGCCGACCACAATCGAGTGTCATTTTGAAGACCCCGCCCTTTCCCTAAACCAAAAATCTACACCCAAAGACAGATCGAGAGAGACACGCGACACTTCTCGAGAACCAACCGAGCAAACCGGAGACCCTTAACCCTAAACTGAAAACCCCGCACGCACTGACGGATCGAGAGGCGCCCTGTCAATCAGAAGGATCGGAAGGCACACGCAAAGAGAGAGTAACTTCAAGAAGCCTGAACCAGCTCCAGCCTGCGCACATTAGGAAGGATTTGTGATTCGGCTTCTGAGCTGCACTCACTGGGTGACCAGACCTCTGTGGGCCTGTGCGGATCTGGTCTCGGAATTAAAATTAGCCTCAGCGTCCGACCTCATCTGACGCAAGCAGTTGCCTGAGTGTTGACCTTTCAACGCTTTTAAGGCCGGCACGGCGTACTAATGACAATGATGCACACAGTTCCTGCTACTGCTCGCTCTTTTTAAAAACCTGCAGACTTCCCCTACGGGCTCAAAGCTAATCGGCCCAAAACGGAAGAGACCTGGTGGCTCTCCCCTGCCAACTCAGCCCGAGCCTCACGGAATCCGCAGCGACACCCTGACGGCTGTCTGCTTCACTCAGACCCGGCCTCCTTGCCACTGCTGGAGCCGCTCTCTTCCTCGGAAAGTTCATACTCCGCATCCTTCTCCTCCTTCTTCTCTTCGTCGTTGGTCTTGTTGGCCTGAGCATCCTTCTTCTGCTTCTTCTCTTGGTTTGTGGTCTTGTCGCCCTGAGCGATGTCCTTCGCGGCATCATCCTGGCCGTCCTTCACGGCATTCTGGCCATTGCTGGCACCTGTGTTGCGTGGCTCTGGATTGCTGTCGTGGACAGCAGGGGCCACCGAGGACGCGGGCGGAGACTGGCTCAGATCCACCACAAGCTTTTCCACGAGAAAGTCCATGAGGACCTGCGGTTTTGGGTAACCCAGTCGGTTTAAGGTTTAGGGTTTTGGGAATCCTTGCCCCCTGGCCTTGGCGTGCAGTGAGCTTCGGCAAACAGCCACCATGGTCACCTTGCTGCGCAACCCTGCAAGAAGCCCGTAGGGGTCTGGGCTCAGGAAGATGAGGCTGGACAGACGGAATGTGTGGAATAGCTCCTGATACACGACCACATGTTTGGACGCGAAGTGAAGGGGGAGCATGTCCTGGACACAAGCGTCACTGGCTTTGGCTTCGTGTCAAGCAGCAGTTGGCTTCGTGTCAAGCAGCAGTCACTCCTCGTCGGCCATGTCGTCGGGAATGGCTGGTTCAGCCGCCGTGTCCGAGATGAACTTGCCCTTGCCTTCAACCTTCAGCAGCACCTCCCAAGCGCCCGAAGCAAACCAGACCGACATGTAACACTATCTCTCTTGGCTTCGCCTGGGTTTTGATCTTCTTTGTCACTCTCGGTTCCAGCAGCACTGGGTTCGGGAGGGGGACCGGAAGCCATGGACACGTCGAGTCCGTGCCAGTCCTGCACACAGTGTAGCCCTAAACCCGGGACCCAATCATTGCTCCCAGACATGTGTGCAAGGCTGTCCCTATCCAGCGGTGTTCGCGCGCTTCCAGACTGCTGCCGCAAACAGCAAAGTGGAGAGACTCCCGGCCGACATACGCGCCCAGCGAGACCGCCTTGCGCTTGCGCCTGGCATCAGGCCTCGGCTCGATCCTCGGGGTCGGCGGTTCCTACACGAGACACTGAACCAGTGCCATGTGCACCATTTTTGCGACTGAAGCACAAATCGTCCAAAGCAGCATTGTAACGGGCCCGACGCTCAAGATCTTGTTGCTGCGGCAAGAAAAGAAAGCTCTGCAAAGTACTCTGCGCCTTCGATTTGACGATTTTCCCGAGCTGTTTTCTAATCTCGCCCTGCGCTTTGGCCGAACCCATGTCAAAGACCATGAATACGTCCTGCGTATGTCTAAAGACTGAAACTGTAAACCCCTAGAACCCAACCTGAATTGACATTTCTTGTCCTTGTCTGCTTGGGCCAGCTTCTCGAAGATCCTGCACGAGTTCGTCCTCAGAGATTCTC